CAATTCTTTTCAATTTATTCCAGTTGCACCTGAAGAGATCGGTAAGGTAATATTATCCATTAAATCGAAGGCGGTGGGATGTGATAATATATCTCGTTTCATGATCACCACACAACAAGAGTCTGATAGGAACCAGATGCGAAAAATGATAGGGCGAGCAGTAACTGAAAAAACAACATTAGATTCTAAGTAGATAAATGTAATGAGATAAAATTTAAGTGTAAAAAGCACACAAGTTGAGACAAACCTTTTCTTTCACTGATAAACCATCTTGCCTTCGATTTCTCTCTATTAGAGGTGTAATATCCTCAATAATATCGTGGACAAGGATCTTAGAAACGCGAAATGTCTTTATAAAATCTCTGTCTGGCATTTCAAAGGCATCCCATCTAGAACACCTCAGTCTGTTTCTCCTTACTCGCTCCATTCGTCTATCTTCTCTTTTAGCTGCATCTAATAATAACAGGCCTAGCCCGAGACTCATTTTTTTGTTTAATCACTGGAGTTTTTGTACCGAAAATCCCCAAAATTCGTTCGTATAAAATTAAATTAATAGCTGAGTTACAATGAAGTCAAAACAAACGTACTTCTGTTCAGCGACACTTCAACGACATTTCAACCGTCAAATTTGACGTTTAGTCGTTGATAGCCGACCCGTTCCAACATCGTTTGTTTACGTGAATACCACCGTACTAACTATTGAAAGACGATTTACACAGCTGAATACGCTTCAACGACACTTCGATCGAACGACTTCAAAATCGGTGTCGATCGAACGCGACTGATGTATGTGAATACGAAAAGGACTTAAACGATTAAGTCGCTACGATATCGCGACGGTTTTTATTACGTGAATCGGGCTACTGGTCTAATTGAAATAAATGATTTTGACTTTGACTTTGACTTTGACATACTGACAACCTATTTATATTACTCCCAAAAATGTTTGAACTTTACCATTTGGTTTTAATAGCGAGTTTCATTAAATACGTCACGATGGCCGAAGTTACTATTTTTTCATGATTTCTCGTCGTGAACTGGTCGTCCAGTATATAGGTATTTTTTTCTCGAATAAAGTATTTTTAAATAGGTATACCTCTATGTATCGGTCGTCAAATACCTTAGTCTTGATTTTAGGTTGGAGAAAAAGTAAGTCATACTTATGGGTCTACTGGTCTATCATGGGGCAAATCAATCGTAATATGATAACATGGTAAGGTTACCTTAATAGGTTTAACCTTTACGTCAATTCAATTTACCTAAGAAAGCACTAATTATGAAGAGTAGGTCGCTGACATTTACTATGTACTAAGAGAAGTGCTGTCGCAAGTATATTAATATGTTTGACATAAACGCAGGTACGTTTGATTGATGGTCGAGCCACAATTTATGGACACGATACGAGCGTGTCGGGTATACTGCTCAAATTATATGGCAGCCAGTAAAAAGGGAAACAGTTTTAAAACCCGGCTACCTACTTTCGTATTAGCATAAATATGAACGACACCTCGGTAAGCCGTGTAACGCCGCGAATTATTCGACGGTACATTTCTTGTGAGATCGATATACGCTCAGCTGCTTGCTTCTAACTTGTTTCATTAAATTCAAATTTCGTGTTGTACTTATTAATTCAGGCGGGCGTTTTCTCCGCACGTCGGGCCGCGACTAGGCGGCTGCTTTTTATATTCTTGTCGTCTCCACATCGGCTCGAGGAAGTTTTCCAGAAATTCGAAGGCTCTCCAAAAGGGTTTTGCTATATCGTATCGCGATAATTGCCAAGTTATATTCAGTTTCGCTTTCGCTAATCCCAAGTTTTCTGCAATATGGCTTTAATTGTATTACATTAGTTAACATTCATTGTTAACAAAATTAAGGGTTTTTAGGACAGTCCTTGTTTATTCACTTTCTACTTTTGTTTAAAATGAAAAATGGGGCAAGTTGTCTCGAAGTATCACCGTCAGATTGTACAAAAGCAAAGTTACCAGCTAAGCCGTTTATATTAGAACAATTAAGTTTCACAAGTTCATGTAAAGCAATTCACTTAAAGTTCGCTACATAATCACATTTCTCAAAGTTGAAACTTGGGCGTGTTTCTGTGGAAGTGCTCAGCTACTCCTACGAAATATGACGGATCCAGATACTCGAGTCGCAAACAAATTTTTGGAAGATTCCTTTTAAGTGGATGCTCATTAGCGTTGTCGTAATAACACCAAAGGAACAATAAAGCGTCTCACGCACTCCTAATGAGTACCAACGGCTCTATTTACATGGTAAATAGCAAGTAACAAAATGTATTATATTAAAACAGGAGTAAACAATGCACACAAGTATTCTGAACTCTTTAAGGAATGTCTCCTCTGCCAGCTACCTTTTTATACAACCTTCAAAAGCTCTTTGTCCGGAACTTTGATCTAGAAGCCGAAACTTCGGAACAATATTAGGCACATTTCTACTTCCATTAGGCCGTGTTCTGTGAACGAATTTATTTTCAGTTCTCGTAAGAATGTAAGTAACTTTTCTGTCCCCATTCTCTCGCAGCTATTATGAGTATCTGGTTCTAACTTTGTTAATCTGAATATTATTTAGGCGGAGGTCTATGGAATGAAACAGGATATTGCTCTCTTAATTATGATTGTCAATCATGAGCCGAGTCCTTGGAACATCGTGCTTCTGGTAGACCGCAACAGAGAACAGTCCGGAGATTAGTGTTCGTGGCAAGACAATCATCATTACTATCTGAACTACATTCCAGCGAGCTCAGCAGACATTTTGCTCACGTAATCAACCTACTCGTACATGCATGTGTTCAAGTAGTTATCTGAACTCGCAAAGAGCCTTTGTTTAAACAGTGTGAAATATTGGTTTGCTGTGCAATACCGTGGCGTGGCACAGCGGTCGTTGAGGCGATGACTTACGATTACAGCACCGCTGCAACCCCCACTTAACTGTTACATATTGCTTCACTTAACTCAAAACCCGGCCGAGGAAAGAATTACGTACGGAAGTGGATCGCGGCCCGCGTACTACACAGACACAAACACATTACACCGCCGACCTTATAAATTGCACCGCTCGCTAAACGTTAACTAATGAACCAGAGGTACACATACTGACCAATTGCTCTACTGACCACTTTGCTACCTGCAGTGATTTTTGAATAAGCTCCAAACGAACGCTGGGATTACGTCAACGATTCTGCTATTATAAACTTGATTGACCAACATTCAAAACGTTGATAAGTGTCATAATTTGTGGTTTGAACGCACTTGATATTTTAATCGCATAATCGAATGAATCGTGGTCATTATAATTTGATGCAAAATATACGTTGCGCCAAACAAAATGTAGCGTAAATTCATGCGGAAACTGAACTGGTATTTTCAAGTGGAGCTCGTTTACAATTTAAAATTCCACGATAAACATATGTAGATAAGGGAGGTATAATAAATTCTCGGGTCGGGCAACGCCGGCCGCCGTACTAGGGCAGTGGAGTTAATAAAATCACTTTGTTAGTCAATTCCGCGTTTTGCCCGCCTATAGCCTGATACACACGTAGGCAGGTAAACACATAGCTCGGTTAATCACTTTACTTTTTGCCCGGATTTAACAACGTACAAAATAAACGCGAAATATCAAATAAAAACTTGCGCAAAAATGAATAACAGGATTAATTGGCTAAAACAAAAATCTCTTTTCAAAAGTAATGAAGATAGCACATCATTAATCAAATCAGTGGAATGTGAAAGTATTCAATTGCTTTGAATAGGTCTTTTGATTAGGGGTTTACATTTCTATCGGAGCGATGAACAAAGAATAAAGTTGAGAATAGAGTGACTAAGCCTGCACTATTGTGGCTAGGGCAGTGATTCAGAGGGTTCGGGGAGCAGCGAGATAGCGCGGCGGGCGTCGGCCCCGCGTCAGCTGAGCGCCGCGCCGCGCCTCCGCCGCCACTCCAAACGTGATATCGCAGTACATTATTGTAATAACACCACTCCGAGCTTCTTTGACGGGGTAGAGGTCGTGTGTAACCTCTCATTTTCCTTACCGAAATTCAAAGGAGCTCTAACAAAGCTTTGTTTTGCATCGCTCGCTTGGCGAAAGCCGCTGAAAGGCTGGCTTTTTAGATAAGGTTCTCTTATAAATTTTCAGCATAGAGCAGACATTTTGCGCTAAAGTTTTTCAGTGTGGGAATGCGAACATCTGCTGCGATTCCCATTCTAGTTTCGAGGGTCGACGTTTTGCGGCAGAGTTATTTGTGAAACCGTTTCACTCGTTAGGGGGCAATTATATTCAGACGGTAATTGAAAATGTTAGTTATACTGCCTTAAGTAGTTTTTAACACGAGAAATAATTGTTTTTGTGCGTTACCGTGAACATGTTTCTAATAGAATTTTTCGATGTCAACATTCCAATTTAGATTTGTTTTATGTATTTTGCATTCGGAGTTTCGATGCAGTTATTTGAGGGACGTCTGTTGCTAAGAACTTTATTTACATTCCAAAGTGGCTCATTTATTTTTCGTCAGTGGCTGTGAACGAGTTTAATTTTAAAAACGAGTTCCTTTGAAATGGGTACAAACCCATTTAATCATACTGTGCAAAGTAATGAAATTATTTGTGCTATAACTTCCTCCGTGAAACATAATGTTAATAAGTAAATGAAAACTCATTGTTGATAGCTATCAACAATGAGTTTTCATCATTTAAAGAAAATATGTTAATTTAAAGGCATACATAGCTATGTATGCCTTTAAATTAACATATTTTCTTTGCTGACCAAAATAATGTAGCCAACTATATCAATATAATTATATAAAAATAATAAATCATTGACCTGCCTACACTAGCGACTCATTCCTTGAGGCATTATGTAGCCTTAAACTGTTCTGCTACTATATATCACTATAATTGTCCATAAACTCATCACAATTGATACAGAAGGACCCATCATAAGCCTAACAGACAAAACTAACAATTCAAAATACAAAAATAACCACTCACCTATAACAGAGAGTCGAATTTGGAAGTTTCGTGTCGGTGAGTTCTTGAAGTCGACACGACATCGGTAAATGCCTTCATCGTCCAGTTGGACGGTGTCGAGCGTGAGCGCGGCTGGGCGAGCTACAGTTGCGAAGTAGGCTCGTGGCCCGAAGGCCAGGGGATCCGACCACTGCAGCGCCTTATTGAACGACCGACCCCGCACGTCGAAACTGCAAAAGATATTTTTATATAAGTCAAAAAGTTGGGTGATAGCATACACGATGTTGTTATTCAATTGTTTAATATTCAATTGGCAGCAGTGATCTTCAATTAATGCGATTCATTTAAACTGCTATCTGATGTTGTTATTCAATTGGTAGCAGTGACCTTCAATTAATACCATGATGGCCAAGGCTAAAGATTAGCTAGATCAGACCTCTAGTATTTTATAAGCAGTTAGTTTCCTAAATATTTAAAGTAACTTTAGGTATTCTCTGATATGAAATTTGTACTTTCAAGGTTAAGTACCAACTTGTAGGTTTAAATACAAATTCTAGGTACTAATAAAATGGCTTGAGAAAATACTTATGACATCGGCACGTGTACTCAAGTTATAGGTACGAAGAATCGTGAATATTTACAAAAGTCAAGGAATGTTTTGGTTCCAAGGTCTTCTGTAAAGCCCGAAGTTATTATCCTTATAAGTCAATTGTTGTAGTTTTCCTTATGTAGATAATAGATTTAATATTTTTCTAATACGATTTATTTACATAGCGACATGAACGTTAGTCGAAACGATAAGTTATGACGTAACATAACATCACGCCTTTTACCCCCGAAGGGGTAGGCAGAGGTGCATATTATGCCACTGTACAATGTAACACCCACTTTTCACTATTTATGTTATGAGTCCCATATAATAGGGGGTGATCCTATTGCCATATACCGGGCACAATTCCAGACTCCGTGCTACTACTGAGATATTTTTTTAAAAACCCAGTAAAACTTTGGCCGACCCGGGAATCGAACCCGAGACCCTTTACCCGGCAGTCGCACTTGCGACCACTCGGCCAACGAGAGAGAACAGAGCAGCAATAAGTTATGTTGATTTCTTAACTATATTTTTCCATCTAGTGCTGGGCAGATTCTAAAGGACCATTACAGGACATAAAATTGTTACTACAATGGTATTTATGATAATTGAATTCTATTATCTTTATATATATAATTCTTCTGTAAGTGTGTATGTCACTGAATTTCTCTCAAACGACTGGACCGATTTTGATGAAATTTGTTTGTGTTTAAGGGGATCTGGGAATGGTTTAGATTCACAAATCAGCCCGGCAGATGGCGCTGCAGTCGAATTCTAGGTTAGTTATCCCAAACGGCTGAACTAATTTGAATGAATTATTGTTTATACATTCAAGTGGTCATGCAGGACAACGTCTGCCGGGTCCGCTAATATTATATATAAGTTTCATTTTTGTTCTGACAATAGTACGTAAATCATACACAAATGAGATTTCGTTCCAGAGCTAAAGACAAAAATCAGAAATATTTTCTTGAAAAATCAAAGCAATTTGTTTATCATCGCGTCTTTATATTTTCTGTGTAAAGTAACGCTTAACGGTTCTAGAAGACCAAGCAAAGTTGTAAATGCACCTACCACTTATTACAATAAATTACAACCCTATTTTATATCGCATAAAACTTGAAATTGCATGCCATACGATACTTCTTGAAACGACTTTACTAATTGTTATTTTATAGTTTCTCGTTACAAAACGGAAGATGGAATAATGAAATATGATTTGATATTTGTTGCGAAAACAACGTTTATTCCAAGATTTTTATGGTCCTTTTTACAACTGACCCCAATGATAATTTGATTTGTGCCAACATAAAGAAACATAAAATGCTTATTTGCCTGACTTGGCAGGAAATGAAAATCGGGAAAAGCGAGTTCGGTATACATACAATGTGTTATACTAGTACGTACTAATGAAATAGTTATATTTTACATTTATTATTTTCTACTAAATATTATGTAGTTTAGTATTAATACACTTCCTTTCAGAGAAGTGTGGGAGCGCCATGCTTCTCTGAAAGGAATGGCTCGCTGGCTCGACCGGAGTGATATTACGGTTTCACAGAAAACCGACGTGAAGCACGACGTGTTTCGTCATGTGAGGTGAGGTTACCGGAGGCCCCCAATGATACTCGAACTCCTAATTCCCAAAAGGCCAGTAACGCACTTGTAATGCCTCTGGTGTTCCAGGTGCCCGGCGCCGATTGCTTACCATCAGGTGATCAGTTTGCCATAAAAAATAGAAAGATTACGATTTATATGAATGTTAATTTAATTTAACTAGTCCTGATATAAAAGCAGTCAATTTTTATGTACAAAAATTAATTGCAACCCAATAATTTTTTTTATATGCAATGACTTTAGTTTGTTACAGTTATGTTTGCCTATTATATTTTGTTAATAATATCAAATACAGGGTGCAAACACGCTCCTGAAAAGCTGGCAGAAAGAAATGGTTTTTACAATTTTAATTGTTTTGTTTTTGTGTCATTTATGCAACATCAGCCTTGAGCAGGTTATTACAACTACTATAGAAACATTTCACTTTTGTGAAAATAGTCTTTTCGGAAAAAAAAGTATTTAAGTTTATATTCGTCTCAACTTTTAAATAATAAAGAGGCGTATATTTAAAACTATGTAATGCTTAAGTTACAATTGATTCAAATTCGATCATCGAACTGATACATATTTAATTAAATTCCAACCCTTACGTTATTACTTTAAGTATTGTTTTTGACTTATATGTAAGTTTATAACTTAAGTTCGATTGAAGATTGAATTATTATGATATTGAAGATTCTCATGTACTTGCACTTTACCGATTGTAAATGAAAGTGTTCAAGTATAAATTAAATGTTATAAAACTTAGTTTCCAATTCACTTTAAAACTTTTAGTTAAAATTTTCGATAAATTGTTGAGTCTAAAGTCGAAGAAGTCTTTGACATACCAATAAATTGTATACATTTTACCAATGATATTATAAGTAAAAAAGTGTACACAACGTGTCCCAGGCTCAATTACCCCCCTAATCTCCCCAATCCCCGAATCCCCAACAATCCTCAAAGTCCTAATCATAAAAAGCTGATAATGCACTTGTAATGTAACACCTCTGGTGTTGTTTTGTGTCTTCCATTGGCGGCGCCGATTGCTTACCATCAGGTGACTGATCACCTGTGAACTGTGAGCGAACAGACTGATCTGTTCGCTTATTGGCTTATTCCATAAAAAATAATATTAAGGAACCTAAATATTAACTCCTATCTCGACAATCGCGATCAATTGACCAACTAAACAGATAAACACAGATCTTCTACAAATTATATCCAAGTTACACTCTACAAAGTTACATTACGTCATACCACATACGTTACATATCGTCATACCACGTACATTCGACCAAGGATGTCCCACACTAAGATCCATAAACCAATAAAAGCTCGCGTGTACACGAAGGAATATATAAATAGAATTTATTAATGCCACTCATTCCCGCGAGTGTTTTGTTTGGTAATTTGATCACGTCAAATCAAAACAAAGTGGAGTTTCCAAGAACTTCTAGGTACAGGTAGGTACTTGTTCTTTTTCAGTGAATTAGTAAACAGAGAATTGGTGTAATTATTTCCATAGATATTAGAGTTATAAAGAAAGATGCGATATAGTTATGTTTATTGTGTTTGGGTGTAATTTTTGGTTGTCTATATATAAACACACTGACAGTTTGAGTATTTGTGCGACCCACGCAAATGTTCTTTAGGTTGGTATTGTTCGTCGAATCAGTCAGCCTCACCTGTTAATTGAGCTGACTGTAAACTGACACATGCGTTCTGCCTTCAGAACGGGTCCGCTCAAACTGTTGTGGTTCTTTTCTCAAAAGGCCACTACAGAAAGAACTTGCACGGTTCTCACACATAACCTTTTATACATATTTGTCTGGACTTTAAAAGAGACGGACCTCTGAGTCTCTGAGTTTGTTTCGGCATTTCTTCTCAGAGTAGTCAGTTAGGAAATATCGACCTCATCGTTCGCTTGATAAAATTGACGTGTAAAAGTGCTGCCTTGTAGCCTATTTGCAGAAATAAATTCAGTTGCTTCACTTGTTTCACAAAATGCATGTATTAGTCACCATTAAGCTAGGGACGCCGTTCCACTCATGCGCCACGGGTAACTTGGTGTTTCGTTTGTATTTTTTTCTATAGAGCATTCATGTTAAAATATAAGATTATATTACAATCATTGAAATTAATCTATTAACTTATTCAGAACAAATTAAATTTAGTGTTTGCAAAACTAAATAATAAGTTTATATCCAACAATAGAGGTTTAAGACGCACGCTTCTCATGCATGAGAGTGCGCGTTCGATACCTACCAACGGCAAGTCTTAGTGTGACTTTTCCGAGTTATATGTACTATCTAAGATTATACAGACATCACTTTCAAACGGTGAACGAAAACATCGTGAGGAAACCTGGGCTTTTAACTTCTAATTATAAATTTGAAATAGCCAACCCGCATTGAGCAAGCGTGGTGATTAATGCTCAAGTCTTCTGCGTGCGAAAAGAGACCTTTGGTCAGCAGAGGTCAATTATAGGCTGTTGATGATGATCATATTTAATATATAAGCCACATTACCACTATCAATTTTCCAATTTGAAATATTTCTTTCATTGCTTACAAAACCAAATAGCGATAAATTCCAGTTCACTAATCCAGTATTATATAACCGGGTAAAATGTCTGCAAACACTGCAGTACCACTCGACTTGTCACAGGACTAACTTTGAAAAGTCAAGCGAAGGAAATGCATAATTAAACATTTGTAAGATCAAGTAATGAATAATTAAAACTTATTACTTAGCTCCTTGATATACTTTCCTTGTTAAAACTGATGTACTGTTTGTAAGTTATTTATAAGTAATTGAGATGACGATAAGGACTAGTAATGAATTGTCGATTGTATCAAAATTGGTACTGATAAAAACGTTGTATGAGATGTTGATATGTGTTGGTACCGATACATCCATAACTTTTGATACTGTGGTATGAATATGTGAAAATATAACTCATAAAAATTGCAATTAACCTGTTGAAATTCATCCCCTAAATTTGTTCATACAAAAGTAGTCTTTAAGCATTGGAAATAA